GCTTCCGCTACCGTCAGTTTACACGGGGAGAAATGGGTTTCCGGGGCGGGCCCGCGCCCGCCCGCAGCCCAGGGCACAGGCGGGGCGCTCGCCTGTCCCCGCCCCGGGGCGCTGTAGGGCTTTCCCGGGCCCGCAGCAAGAGGAGCGGGTGGCGGAGTCCGCGCCGCGGAGAAGCGGGGCTGAAAAGGGCCCGGGACGTCACCTGGCGCTAGGCCAAGCCGAGCAGCGCGGCCCCATCCGCGCCAGCCCGCGGGACTCCTCGTCTGAGCTCGCACTGTGGTCACAGCCAAGGCTGTGGCACAACCAGGCGAGGCCCCCTCCCTGCCGCAAGTAAAGCAGGGAGACGATGGCAGCCAGCGTCTTGGTGGTTAAAATCCACCTGAGAGATGGGAGGAAGGGGCCAAACTCCCGCGGTTGGTGGCACTCTGATGCTCGAGCAAGATGCCTTCCTGAGCCCCAGCGTGCCCCAAGCAGGTGGCCCTGAGCAGAGGCGCAAAACCAACCGGGACCTGGGTTTTAGTCCCATGGGGAGCAGTTGTTTTTTTGGGGGGGGTCTGTTTTTTTGCACCAGTCCTGGAAGCACTGTAATACCAGGTCAATGCATGGAGCGGATGGAGCAAACTGCAGGTCTACCACCCAACACCAAAAATCTGCTCAATATAGACCTCCTATGGAGGACATATTAGAGACAATCACCTGCCCTGGGGAGCCCGCCTACGTGGTCACGGTGCTTCCCCTGGCTCAGCCACCCCTTACCAGTCGTGGTATTTGTGTACTGCTCCGGGCAAGCTGCGGACCGCGCCTCCTCCCACTACGATGTTTATAGAAGTCGCTCAAGTGGTACTGAGCACATCCGGGCCCCTGCCCAGCCACCCACCATGAAAGTGTGCTTATTTCTGGTAATAACAAGACGGGCTGTTTAAGGGAAAGGAAGTGCAGTGTGTTCCCACCAGCGACTGTTTTTATACGCCAGAGCCTTGGACATGGGTTTGCTAGGCTCAAGGCAGAACACAGACCTGCAGTACACATGGCCACCACCAGACACAGTTTCATCCTGGAAGGGAGGGAAGGTTTTTTGGGTAGATGTGATATCTAGGGCTGTGAGAAACTTCACCGGCTCTTTTGATGCTGTTTCAACTCGTTTCGAGCCAGAAACAGCGAAATCAAAATGAAACGAAGGCCTTCAAAACAGTCTCGAAACAAAACGAGGCCCGTCGAAACATTTCAAAAGTTTCAAAATGTTTCGAATTTTAAAGCAGCCAGCCAGCCAGGTGGTGGGAGGCAGGGGAGAGCCAGGGCTGCACTGCGAGTGGCTCCAGAGCCCCACGTGGCTCAGCCTGGCGGGGGCACAGCCCTGGCTCTCCCCACCTCCTGCAGCCGGGCTGCGCTCCGTGGGGCTGGCAGAGCGGACTGGAGCTCGGTCCGGTGGCAGAAGGCAGGCAGAGCTGGGGCTGTGCTCCACCTCCCGCCACCCAGCTGAGATCCACAGGGCTGCAAGCTGCTGGGAGGTGAGCCTGGTGGCGGAAGCTGCTTCCCCCAGCCAGGCTCAGTTCCTCAGCGCTGGGTCCCAGGCGGCAGGAGCAGCGTCCTGTCATCTGGCCGGCAGATCGGGACCCGCCCGCACCCCTGGCAGGGCTGCGGGGGCTCTGCCGGACTCATCCCGGGGGTGTGGGCCCCCGATCTGCCTGCTGGATCACAGGACGCTGCTCCTGCTCCCCAGCTTCTGCTTGTCAGCAGCTTGAGGTGCAGTTTCCTAGAGACCACTGCACCTATCTCCTTGAACCCTGGCAGGCTTCATGCCCTCAGCAGGGGCTAGCATCCCTGCAAGTTTCATTGGAATCAGGCAAGAAATGACGAAATTATAAGATGTTTTGTGCTTCCCCATTATAGCCTATGGGCAAAACATCAAAACAGCGTTGAAATAGCGAAACTGTTTCGACGAAAGAGAACAGAGCAGTGCTTTTGAAACGAAACAAAACGAGACGCTGTTCCATCAAAACGTCAAAACAGAGGTTGAAGCGGAACCCCACTGTTTTGCACAGCCCTAGTGATATCTTTGATTACACCAACTAAACTAGTTGGAAATAATTTCTTTGCAAGCTTTCAGTCACCAGTGCCCTTCTTCAGGCATTGGGAGCCTGCTGCTGCTAGGAGTTCTCTAAGATAGGAAGCTAAAAAGTATAACAAGATGTCTGTGAAAATGTAAAATCCTGAGAGGGGTTTTTTCCCCTCTTCCTTGCAGCAAATCTTCCCTAAAAGTCACTGGAGTGAGTTTCTCCCTGGTGCAAATAAAATAAATCTTTACTGCTATCAGCTGTGTCTGGCCGGCTCAGAACTTTCACCACAGCTGGCTTTATTTGAACATCTAATATCTTCAATTCATCATGTCAACAGGAGTCTTTATTAAGAAGGCTGGTAAATAACTAAGACCCACCTAACTATTGTGTTTTTAAAATGAGCTGGTTAATTGTTGACAGGCTTTATTTTCTATGGTGTTTAATGCTGTACCAGATTATTTAAATGCCACCCAGCACTTGGCAATAACAGCTGCAGGTCATTCCCTCTACCCTGGTAGCAGGAGAACCTGACCTGACCTGCTTTAACACCTGAACAGTGTTCGTAATTCCCCGAGAGTGAGGCTTTGGTGTGTATTTAACTATCTGTGTGTGTTCTTCATGGATTCATAGATTGTAAGGCTGGAAGTGACCATGGAAGATCATTGGGTCCAGCCTCCTGCACCAAGCAGAAAAGACAACTGGGGGTCAGGTGACCCCAGCAAGGTGACCGTCTAGTGTCCTCTTGAAGATTTCCAGGGTAGGCAATTGCATCACCTCTGGAGGGAGCTTATTCCACGGTCTGGACACCATAGTTGTGAAGAAGCAAAGGCATCTTTGCTAATGTCCTTATTGTAATGTCTTTGCTAATGTCTGAGACATTTGTGCAGAACAGCACCTTAGAGGTGAGGTACTAGTTTTACTCCTGCCAAAGGAAATGCCACCAAAAAGTTGTGGAGCTGAAGTCCACTCCACAATAGGGTGAACTCTTTATTCCTAGTTGGAGGCCAGTCTAAGAGTGGAGTCCCAATAGACTGGACAAATGGATGATCTCCTTTGCTCCGGCAGCTTCTGTGGACGAGCTAGTTCCAAACATACTGGCACCTGGCCTTTCCTTTGGATTAAACCAGCAAGGCTGAGAGGGGGATACCGGTGTGTGGGCACTTCGTGTCTCCATATACACTGCTAGGCTTGTGTCCTGGAGAGGCCACTCCAGCTTCGCTTTATGTTTCAAGCAACAATTATGTTCAGCAAGCTGATTTCTCACTTGGCATAATTCTACTGTCTCATGAGACAGACTGATGCCTATTTACTACCACTGGTGTTGCTGTAGAACTTAAGACCTCACAAATGTGAATGTATTCTCACAGTAGTGTTAGAGTGGTGCTGGAGCTGTGACTGTCCAGAAATTATGCGAAACAAGGATTTTTCACGGGACCAAATCTTTTATTGGACCAAATGCATCATTGGAATAAAATTAGACAAGCTTTTGAATACAAAGCATTCTTCATCAGGTCTAAGGAGGGAAGCAAGCAAATATAGCAAATGAAATCTATAGAGCCTAGTCTAGAACTTCCCATGACCCAAACCACACCTAATGGATCCAGACCAGGACAAGAAATATAAAGCCAACACATCTCCACCAGTCCCACAATAACAACACCCCACAGCAGAACCATTGCCATTCCTGGATCTTACACCTGCAGAAATGTGATAGATCTCATCCAGTGCACCAAATGACCTGATGGAAAACAGGTAGAAGAAATCAAGCAACAACTGCACACCAGAATGAATGCAACCGAAAATCCATCAAAGACAAAAATATCCAACTACATGTAGGGGTACACTTCTCACAAGACAATCACTCCCTCTCCGATCTCTCAGTTCTAATCCTCAAAGGAAATTTACAAAACACTTTTCATAAATGAGCCAATGAACTTCACTTCATAAATCTACTGGATACAAAAAAATCATGGACTGAATATAGACTCTGGGTTTATGACACATTACAATCTGCCTGACATCAAACACACTAGGTAGCCTGCCTTTTAGCTGAAGACCTGCATTCCTTCACACTTTCCTCTCCCCTTTCCCTCCTATCTATACCCTTGTCTTCCAAACTTCCACTTATTTGCATCTTCACAGACATCTGTTTGCCCTCGCTTTTTACCTTGGAGATCTCAGAACAGCAGTAGAGTCTTTCAGTGCCTGAGGAAGAATAGCTGTGCCTGAAAGCTCACAAATAACTTTTTTACAACTATTTAGTTGGTTTTATAAAAGATATCCCATCTCCTCAAAGAACCTTGCCTGCCCTAGTCTAGAACTGTGAAGCTGGAGAAGGGAGGGACATACCCAAGGGTAGCAGACAAACAAATCACAGAAGAAAGAATCTGATTACTGGGAGATCAAGACCCATCAAAAAGGAGGGGAGTCATTAATACTGTTTTTGTATAGGAAGAAATTCAGCAATCAAATTATAGTGTCAAAAAATCAATATTGGTGTTCCCTCCTTTGTTCTTAAGTGTCCAACCAGATTATAAATTGCTATTCTGAAGATCACCTTTTAAAAGTGTTCTTCAGAATACTGAAGATCTATGCCAGTTTTGGTAGATTTCCTTTGAGCATGACGCCAGTGAGGTCAGAAAGGCAGTGACTGTTCTGTGAAAAATGTGCTCCTACTGACATATGTGTTTCTCCATCCTTTATATTTTTTCTGTGGGAGTGCATTCTAGTGCATATTTGCTGTTTAAGTTTCACCCACATAGTTATCGTGGGGGCTTTTTTTGCATTGGATCAGATATATTACATTTTGGGAAAGGCATGTGTGGGATCCTCACAGCACTCCTCTGAGGAATGCTATTGTTTCTGTTTTATACAGATGGAAAAAAGCTTGGGTACAGTCCAGGGCTGAATGCCAGGTGGGCTCATCAGGCTGCTGTTCTAGGCCTGAGTAGAAGAGCCTCCAGGCCTGATGCTCCCAGGTGAAGAAAAGGCAGGGTCTGGGCTCCCTCCCTGATGCCCCAGGTGGCCTCTGCTAAGTAGGAGGAAGGACAGAGAACAGATTACTTTTCAGAAGGAACCGTGCTCCAGAAGCTGCATCTACACTACAAGGCACAGTACAAAAGCCAGAGGTAGCAGTCTAGCCATGGCATCATGGAGCTCAGCAGGATACATTAGCCCGAG